CAGGATGTTGAAAAATGTCAGGATAGGTATACTCGTAAAAAGTCAACGGTTGTTTAATGGCTGGTCAAAGCCGGTCAAATTTTTGGTCAAAGGAGGTCAATAGACGATCAACCATTTTACACAATTATCACCTTAATAGAAATTAATTACAAAACTAACACCCTTTTAACAATATTTACAAAACTAATACCCTTTTAAAAATATTTACAAAACTAACACCCGGTCAACGATCAACGGTTAACGGTCAATGGTCAACGGGTCAGGTCAACGGGTCGGGTCAACAGGTCGGGTCAGATTGGTTCAGACCGGTCAAACCGATTCTGACCGATCAGACCGGTCAAACCAGTTTTCAAGCATTGGTCGATTCTTCCCCACGCGCAGTGGCGGCGCATGAGACCTTCTGCGGCGTTGTAAAATTTACAGAAAAATTTCTAAAAATTATTTTGAGCGATTTTGAGGCACTTACAGAGATCGGTTCACAACTTTGAACGGTGGAGAGCTCGATTTCAACAAATGGAAAACTTTGACCGCTTCACCTCCTCACGCGTCGCCGCCTCCGGAGACATGGAGGACACCAGTGAACTCGAAATGGCACAAGGAACACGGTGAAGAATACTGTGACGAAGCTCTCTTGTAAATACTCTCACAAATGCTGCATGCAAATATCATGGTGTATATAATTTATATATATAATAAACATATTGTTTTCATTAGCTTATTGTTGTAACAACTTTTTTTTTGTCATTTGCTTATCGTTGTAGCTAATTTTTTTATGCAAATAGAAGCGATTAGTTAAATAATATATATTCAAAATTATAATAAAAATTTACAACCATGAACGTAAACTAGACATATAATTATGGCACACTCTTATAATCTTTGACATAAAAAATTAGACACTAAAATCATACAACAACCATACAAAGAAAAGATTAAAAACTCATCCAAACACTTGAACAAAAAATAGATACGAATATAACTTATTACATCAGTAAAAGAACCACAATATGGGATCAAACTATTAAATGACCATCGAAAATTGCGAATTAGAGTTGAATGTCATGAGAAAACTATCTCTGAATGAAAACTGTATATTCAAATCCAATCTAATGATCCAAAGCAGGGAAGATCAGTAGAATAACAAATAAACGACATCTTGATCAGTCGAGACTACATCAGATCCAACTCCAATAAAATTAAACGAAAAGAACAATCAAACTATCGATAAACAAGGCCGAAAATGTGACAAAAGGCAATGGAAAGTATGTAATAAAGGCAGAATTACTGAAAATTAAAGAAACAAAAGAAGAATAAAAATACGATATAAAAAATAAAGAACACCAATCATCAACGAAAAATATCAGTATTAGTGTTGTCGCCTGCCAAACTGTTGTATATAACTTTTTTTGTCTGTATGTAAACTTATTTTTTTTGTATAAATTTAGCTTTTTTTTTTAAAATGGTTATATTTTATAGTAATTTGAAAATTCTTACTTGACCAGAATGTATATAAAACAATAGGAGAAAATTTTATTAATATTGGAATCTGATATTTATTTCTTTGCATTTTATTATGCTTAATATGAAAAATTAATTAAAATTATTTTTTATTTAAGTGTTTAAACTTTTTTTGAATCAATTTAAATGTCTAGTGTTATTTTTTAAGTGTCTCATTCCTCCCAGTCGTTAAAAATTTCATTACTAATATTTGTCGCATTTTTAATATTTTTAAATTTGTATTTAAAATAAAAAAACTTAAAATTATAATTTTTAATAAAAATCTCAAATTTTTCTCAAATTAAAAATAAAATAACTCAAAACTTTGAAAACTCTAATACTTTAAAAGCTCTAATTCCAAATCCGTTACATCAGCCGTCGACCACCGTCACTCTAATCTTAGATTTATATTATTAAAAATGAATAATTATTGGCTAAATAACAATCAATTATATATAGAAATGAATCGACTTGATTGAAAACATGCTGAATCCAATTATACTATTAAATTAAATATTAAATTTGTTAAAAACAATAATATGAAAGTATATATCATATTAGTATAAAGTTTTTTTTAAAAAAATAAAAATTTAAGGACTTTTTGGGATTTTATAATTTTATTGAAGGTTTATAAATTTAATATGTATTATGTGTATCGTATCATGCTCTAAGAGTGTCGTCATGTTTTTTCTTAACATAAAAATAGATTGGAGTTATTTGTACCAAGATTGAAACGTTTAGTGTTAAATTAAATAAAAAAATAAGTACCAAAGTGATAATAAAGCTTTTCAAATAATGTATATATAATAAATAAATCATGTTAAAATAATATTTTTTACTACTAAGCTTTTAAAATTTATAAAAGAGTCATTAACTTTCAATTTAATTACAAAATATCACTGCACCGTTTATTGCCGTCAAAGGGATGACATTGGATGCTAAATTAATGAGAAACATCTCATTTGACCTCTCAATTGTAACTAAATTTTTATCTTGATATCTTTTTCAATATTTATAAGAAATAATTCGAACAAATTTTACATTAGAATATCAGAAATTTTTACTATACCTGCATGAATGCTGAGCAGAGTAAAGAGTATGACCATTTGCATTGCTCCAGTTCTTATCTGCATCTGGAAGATCATAAATTTCTATTTTATGCAGATTCAAAATGCACGAAAACACGGTGATCGAATCGAATAAAAATAAATCTAATACAAAAATTAATTTTAAATGCATTACTGACTTTGTATAAGAACACACAAAGGCTCAAAGAATTATTATATATAACTCTAGCGCAGAAGAAGAAACAATCTCCATAAACATTCCACAAAGGAAACAAATTGAAATCACTTCAAGAATAATGTATATCTAACCCAATTACTTGTGTTCAGGGCCGGCCTTGGGACAGGGCAGGAGGGGCACCTCCACAAGGCCCACAAAATAATTTTTTTTTCAGTATAATATCTTTTATTTTTCTGATAGTAAATTAAAAGATTTTAAAATAAAATAGAATAATCTATGCATTTAGTACCTATACTATCAGTTTTGATTCGTTTTAGCACCTAAATTTTTAATTTTTTAAAAATCATATCTAACCTTTAGTTTTCATTTCATTTTAGTACCCGTCGTTAAAAACTTAACGCATTTAGTACACTATCAGTTTTGGTTTGTTTTATTACCTACAATTTCCAAAAAAAAAATTAGAACTTAATGTTAAATTATGAATGATACTAAAATGAAATAAAAAACTAAAGTTTTTAACGGCGAGTATAAAAATGAAACAAAAATTAAACTTTACGTATGGTTTTCAAAAACAATTAAAAGTTTAGGTACTAAAATAGATCAAAACTGATAATTTAAGTACTAAATACATAATTTACTCAATAAAATATTGGGGCCCATGAATTTATTAAGGTGTCAATTATCTTTATTGAATTTTATATTAACGTTAATAAACTATTCTTCCATAAAATTCTAATTTAATATTTCTTTCTCAAAATTCAAAAAAAAAATTCAATTGAAATCTTTAATTTTGGTCTTTCCAAATTCCCACTATCAATTCACCAAATCCTTTTCCTGATTTTTTATATCAATGAAAAAATTTATTAACGCTATTTTTTCAAAACTTAATGAGAGGAAAAAATTTAAGTATAATTAGCATGTTTTTTTTCTCTTTCATGTTTCACGATTCATCTGAAAATTATTATTCTCATTTTTTAATTTATCATATTTCTATCACACGTAAAATCACAATTGTTTGTTATCAATTATGGTGCTTGAATAATATTGAAGTTGTTCTTAAAATTATAGGTAGATCATGTTTTCAAATTATTTCTTTTAATTTTATATATTTTCAAATTCTAGAAAAAAATGTTCTTTCATTTTCAAATGCTATGTTATGTATTGAGAAAAATATGTTAGAAAAACATTGATGTTGACACTATCATCAATGGTTTTGCATAAAAATATTCGAATGTAATATTTTTATAAGTATTTGTATTCTTAAATATATTTTTAACATCTTTTATATTGTAATGAATTACTATTTTTTAAATTTTAAAAAAATTAATAAAATATTTATTTTAGATATTTTTTAATTTTTTTATATTAGGGGCCTTTTTTTTAATTTTGTCCCCGAACCTAAAAATAATCAAGACCGGCTCTGCCTCTGTTAATACCCTCGATAACAATTTGGTTCAGTTAAGAGCAGCATAATACGACTACAAGCCAAACTATCAGCAACCATAGTTGAAGTGAGAAACCAACTTGCATTTATATAACACAATGCCAACATGTAAGCAGTTGGTTGAAGAAAGCGGCAGGAAAAACACAGACAAGCAGCGGTTGCCGATAGTTTGATTTTCGTTTTTACAAGACAAGACATGATCATAATAACAACTATAATAATAATAGCTCCCATATTCAACTTCAAATTACATTCAAACTAATGGATACATTGAGATCTCTAAAGCACAATTCAAGTAGCAAAAGCACTCCATGTGCAACATGTATATGCACACCTACACATCATGATGTGCATGTTGTTAGATCATGAAACAAGAGTTAAAACTAATCGATTCCACAGACAGAAACCTCACAAATTCATTAAAACAACCAAAAACAAACAGGATTCAACCACGTTTCTCTGTATTTACAAATCAATAGAAGACGTACATGGAGAGCCAACGATAGTAGCATTATTGGAAAACCTCATAAGATAATATAGTCGGCATAAACTGCACAAAGAGAGAAAATCCCATTGAATCTTACCCATTTTTGTTGTTGTTCCCCACCGATGTTCGTGTTCAGTATCAAGTTGATACGTCTTCAGCTGGCCAACGTATTATATGTTCCTCATGCTCTGCTCTTCCATTGACTGAAAACTAGTTCTCAACATAAAAAAAAATGTAAATGGTCAAATTAGTATGGATGCCAAGATGTTTAGGCTCTCGTTTCTAGGGGTCGAACAACACTAGTTCATGATCCGGGGTCTCAAGAAATTATTCACCATTTTTCCAAAACCTCAATAGTCTCTTAACTCCAAAAACGGATTCAATACTGAATTGTTTAGTCCATGATCCATTCATAACCCATAAATAAAAAGACTTGTCGGTACCTAGCAACGGATAAACAATAACACCAAGCAATCCCTTAAACTCCAAAACTTGACCAACAAAAAACCTACCAAATTCAGGCAACGGTAAAGTTGAAAACTTTTCATTAACCATGTCCAATGAAAGGAAAATGTAATCAAAATTCCCACTTGCCTGCCAATAATAAAACCCATTTATATAAATATTGAACTCAGGAGGACCATCATAAGGATAAACATCATGAGCTGAAATTTCCTTCCATGAATCACTTTTAAGGGAATACAACTCAACTTGGTGATTCCAAGCAGGAATTCTGCTTACGTCTTCCTTGTGTTCAAAATAATTAGTAACAAATCTCACAACTTTATAGTCACTAATTTGATAATCAAACCCAAAACCAAGGCAATCAAAACTAGTGAAATCTACTAAAGGAGAGCGAGAGACCGAGGATTGAGGAAGAATTTTGAACTCCCTAGTTGATGGATTCCAAAGGGAAACCTTATCATCCCTTCGTAAACACACCAATCCATTACAAGGTCCAGAAACTGCAGGACCAGACTGACAATGCTCGAAAAAGGGTAAGTGAATGTTGTGTTTTACTGTAAAGTTTAGGCCTTTCTCGATGGAAAGTTGAGAGAAATAATGGGTGACTTGGGTTTGGAACTGACAACATTTGAGGAGGAGATTAAGGTTGTTTTTTCTGAGGTTGTTTTGGTGATGTTTGGAAATGAAATGATGGGTTCGAAAAGATGAAGACCAAGGTTTGCAGACGCACCTGAAACACATCAAGGATTTAACAGGAAGATTTGAGAGAACGTCCAAAACCACCATTTATGGTGCCTAGATTCTAGTTCTGCAACACCCTTGCATTCTCTCTATCTGTGTTTATCGATGATTGTATTTGGGGAACTAATAAATCCAATGAAAGTGATTAACGAGAATTTTTCTTATTTTCTATTTTGCATGACAAAAAGAAAAGGGGCAACGACAATGTGCAAAGATTAACAATTAAATGTTCATGGACTGCACTGACGGGCCAGGCCGAGCCCTCTACTTCTTCTCTAAACCCATAGCTTATCCTAAATCAAATTGAATTTAGTATATAAATGATTTTCGACTATAACACTGTTTTATTGAGTCTCATGATTATTAAAAATTATGAAATGATTCTTTAATTATGGGATGTTGTTTTATTGAGTCATTCAACTATTAAAAGTTATGAAATGATCACCCGACTATTCATATATTTCAAACTCGTCTTTTTTTGTTAAAAATTGAAGGCAGTCTAAGTTGGACATTAACTTACTGACTATGATATAATAAAAGCTAATTCCGAAATCTCAAACGACTATCATATCTCAGTCAACATATTAACATCCAGTTCAGATTATCATCAAACTTTTAACAAAAAATATGAGTTTGGAACATATGAATAGACATGAGATCATTTTGTAACTTCTAATAGTCGATGAACTCAACAAAACAACACTCTATAGTTGAGGGACCATTTATGTATTTTACCCAATAAAGTTTTACATTTTATTTAATTTAAGATAAAATTCAGGGTACAAACCAACTTAACTGAGTGATTAAAAGAATCGTTGTTATTTCTAGAAGTCACGGGTTTGAGCAATAACTACTGCAAGGGTAATTGAGCATTTATTTTATTGTCAAATGGTTAATAATACTAAAAATAGATATCACTCTGTAATCACCTTTAGCTGAATAAATAAAATAAAATTCAAAAACTAATTGTGTACATTTTATTTTTTTTAAAACATATCCATTTTAATCATAATAATAATAATTTTAAGTATTTCTTTTGATAAAAGAAAATACTTTATATATTAAGATTAAAAATATATATTTTATAATATAAATCTATTTATAGAGAGAGACAAAATCGAAAGTGTATGGGTCCCGCCCTAACCCATCTTTAAGACTAAATCCTTATAGACTTTTTGTCGCACGGTCGAACTGACACCCACCTCTCCCCACTTTTCTCAGGATGGGTTTTGAACGCCACACTCTTATGTGCGCCTTCCACGTGTGGAGAGTCGGTCCACACAGCAGAAGAAGAGTTGAGAGTAAAGTGAGTTGGAGGGAAAAGAGAAGCATGGGAGGAAGGTGGTTTCGGACAAAGGACAGGGGCCTACTTCCCATAAAAACCACCAACCTGGTTTTTGAAACTGCTCTGGCAAAGATATCCATACCCTCCCATTACAAACACAACACCTATAATGCATCTAAAAACAATGGTAACAATATTCAAATTACTAAATATATAATTATATAGTATATCATTCAAAAATAGGGTAAAGTACACAAATGTTCATCCGACTATAGGATGTTACTTTTTTGAGTCTCCCAACTGTTAAAAGTTACAAAATGATCTTCTGGTTATATAATGTTGTTTTTTAGTTCATTAACTATTAAAAGTTATAAAATGATCACCTAACTATTTATATATTCAAAATTCGTCCTTTTTTCAGTAAAAAAATTGAGCTCATATGAACTGCACGTTAACTTGTTGACCGAGATACGATAGTCGTTTAAGATTTTGAGATTATATTTTTAACATATCTTAGTCAGTAGGTTAACATCTAATTCGGATTGTTGTCAATGTTTTAACAAAAAGGGATTGGTTTGGAACATATGAATAGCGGTGTAACCATTTTGTAACTTTTAATAGTCGAGATACATAACAAAGCGATGTCTTATAGTCGAGAGACTCAATTTATCAAATATGAATCTTTCTCTATATATCTTCTAAAATCAATCATCATAAGTAAGATGATTATTGGATCAAGTGGAAAAAAATTCAATATTGAGTTTGTAAAATTTAAATCAAGTAAAATTTAAATCATAAATTTATTTAAATTTTATTCAAAATTAAATATAATTATTTATGATATTATGATACTTGTTGGTTTCAATTTAAACAATAATTCTCTCTTATCATGTACAATATATATATATATATATATATTAAGTAAGATTTATAATATCATTTAATAAATAAATTATCATATAAAATTATTTAATATATTTATAATAATATTATTAATTTTTATTAAGCTAAAAGTGATTACATTAAATCACCCTTGTAGTTGCTAATACTCGAACTCATGATCTCTAGAAACATTAAAGATTCCTTTAACCACTGAGGTAAATTGGTTCTCGAATTTATAATATTATTTCTAAAAGAATAATTTTTCTAAAGGATAAAATATTTATTGAATTACGATGAATTCAAGAAATTGATGTAAAGAACAAATTTACATAGGGTTGCATATATAAAAAATAAATTGAACAAAATATAAAATTAAGAGGCAAAATTAAAAATGAGAAAAATTAATTTTCAAAAGAAAATTAAAGTTAAACATTTATATTATAATGATTGAGGGGTACATAATTCAAATTTGATAAAAATAAAATAAACATAAATTAACTATGAATTAAAGAAATAGAAATATTTATACTAAATCAGCAACAATTGAATTATTTAACTCTAAAGTTTAAAAATTAGTGTAATCTTGTCCAGGAGGGCGCTAGACTGTGGATTGAGGAAGGATTTTAAATTCTCACGTAGATGGGTTCCAAAGGGAAACATTATGTCCAATATATGGCTCTGCTAAACACAGTATTCCATTACGACGACCATCAATTTAAGGTGAATACACAAAATTATTGAAAAAGAGTAAGTGAAAATTGTGTTTTACTCTAAAGTTTTGGCCTATCTCGGTCGAAAGTTGAGAGAAATAATGGATGTTATCACGAGTGACCGTCACAACAGTTGAGGAGGAGATTAAGGTTATTGTTTTTTAAATTGTTTTTGATGATTTTTGGTAATGAAATGAGGGGTTTCAAAAGATGAAGACCAGGGCTTACAAACACATCTGAAACGGGTCAAGGATTTAAAAGGAAGCTTTGAGAGAAACTCCATCACCAACATCTCTGGTAATTCAGTTCTATTTTTTATCAACCCTTGCATCTTCTTCTTTCTTCCTCTTTATCTTCTCTACTTCCTCTGGTATCTCTTTGACGCAACAATCGACTTATTCCTTTGAAACTATCTTAACCTCCTGTAGGATATTCCATACTCCTTTTCCTTGATTAAGCTCACATATTATTTTACCCTTTAAACAAAATTAGTGTCATCCGCCCAATGAGTGAACCACTTGAAAGGTCTATGCACTACTTTCACAATTTCTTCCTTCAACACCACCGATTTGTGATCAGACAGGCTTCTAGGCAATGTGATCCCCAATAGTTGGGGAAACTTATTTAAAACTTCAGTGGTTACAAGAATTCTATCCAGTATGATTGTATTAGCATCACCACTTCCTCTAAACCATGTGAACTTGCTTCCAATTAGTGGTAGATTAACTAGATTGTTGTTCGAAATAAACTCCCCAAAACTTCTCATTAAATTATTGTGGAAGCTTACTCCGATCCTTTCAGAATCTGATTTAACTGTGTTGAAATTCCCTTCGACAATAACGGGGCCACTAATCTCAGCAATTAACTCAGTAAGGTTCAAAAAGAAAGATATCCGCTCCCCTGGATCGTTCAACGCATATACATTTACCACTCCAGCTTCTAAATTAACATGAGAAAATACTTTTTCAGTAATAATGAGATTAGCCCCCTGAAGCACCAATGAATGGTGCGAAGGCTAACTCTCCAAAGTATCTTCCCATCAAACGTCTTGATGTCCAAGGATTAACGAGTGACAATTTCATTTATTGCAATAAGGTCGATTCGACTCGAAAAACCAATTTTTTGACTTGACTCGATTTGAAAAAACTCGACTCGAATTGACTTCGAGTTGTAGTTTCATAAACTCGACTAAAAAAATTTCAAGTTCTAATTGAGTTGTAAAATACAACTCGAATAACTCGAAATTTTTAGTAATTAGTATATTAATTTTTAAGTTTGAGTCGAAGTATGAATCGAATCCCTCGACTTTGTTTGGTATATGTAAATTAAAAATAAAAATACGAAAAAATATATATGTATTATATATAGTTATAAAATAACATTTAAATTGGAATAAAATAATGTCATGATACTGTAAATATTTACAATTAAATTTAAATAGAAAATTGAAAATTTGACTAAACTTGAAAAAATTTCAAGTTAACTCCGACTTATAAAATAAGACTCGTCAACTCGAATAACTTAAAATTTTTTATTTTACTCGACCGAACACTCACCCCTACTTGCAAGAACACAAATCATGCTTTACACGTTGAAATTACACGAATTATGGCCCTTACTTTTTCCTTTTTATCCATCCCTCATACGCTTCATGATAAAATTGAAAAAAAATCATATTAAACAATTAGACAAAAACACACATGCAATGAATCAAAACTAACTGCTATAATCACATTCTTTCAGCATCCTCAATTTCCTCGAATCTTCTGATCACTTCACTCATAGGCACTTTGAATTAAAACCTTAGTTAGGAGCCTTGTTAAAAACCTCCCTAAACCTAAATGGAGGAAAAGAGTACTCCTACAAAAATCAAAACAACACTATAAAGTAATCTCCATAGACAATACAACCGTCACAGAGTTCAAACTAATTCTCCAACAAGAGACCTAACCCGACTATTGAGGGCATAATACTAACCTAAGAAGTACCACCAGAAAACTTATTAACCTCGAAATTGTGAGAAACAACAGCCCTGGAAATGTTTGACTATAACAAATAGTACTGAATATTACTTCCCACCGGTAGGGTTGAATTTGTTAGAATAGAAGAGGAAATTTTGTGAGAGAAAACATTGAGATTCAAGCAATGGAATCATGAAAGCTCTACGTTTGATCTTAACAATAAGTTATTTTCACTAGGTGATTTCAGTTTCAACTTGTTTGTTTATTCATCATCTGATTCTGAGGAGTTGGATATTTCGTTAATTATTTTCAAGTTTCAGTCCGAAAGAAAAACCTGACTCCAATTGAGATTGTGGTGATTCCAGACTATCAAACTCTCTAATCGTCGAAAGAAGTTATAAAATAAATTTACAAGAAATTGTATGAGACTTAAATAAGTTGTCGAAAGAAAATTTTGAACAACTATAAAACCTTATCACTTTGACGCAACAATAAACTTATTCAAAAAACTATAAAAAGAATAGAAAATATGGTGTCTAAACATAAAGGAAAAATATCTATGGAGGCACCATCATATTATCAAAGGAGTCAAAGGATAAATTAAAAAAAGAAAAAAAAACTAGCCATTAAGTTTATTTTCTTTATAATTTTTTTTTCAATATTTTCATTTAAAAAATTAAAGTGAACACGACATTCCAATAGGATGAGTTCCTCTACATAGCCATTGAGATGACCATTTAAAAAATTATTTTTTTAAATCAAGGGGATTCATCATTCTAGCAGGACAAATTCCCCCTGATATAATAGTTGGTTTTAATTATCATTTTTTTCTTTATAATGGAGCTCCTGAATTATAAACATCTTTTAAATATTGTATGATACTCGATGGATTTGTAAACTATTCAGTTGGAAGAAAAATTAAGATAGTAGTTGTTTCCGATGGACACATTAAGTAAATAAGTATGATATTTGTATTGGTAGTAAATTTTAAATAACAAAAAATAGATTAAATTTGTGCCAAACCAAATAGACATAAATATTAGATATGAATATTTATTGGGAAATACAAATGCCAAACCATTTGTTTTTTTGTTTTTTTGCAATCATGTGATGAATGATACAAGGTCTTTACTCACAATATCTCATTTCAGCAAAACCATTAAACCAATGTAAGGATGAGCACCAATCTGTACAGGCTACTCATAAACATATATATCCCGTGGGATATACGTACGAGCATGCGATCCTCTAAGGACCCTCAAACTATATTAAAAACTATATAAATACCCATATTCGACATGTTTGACACTCGCATATGAGCACGAACAACCTAAAACAATACCTCTTCAAGAATGCAATCCATTTACCTCTAAAACAAATAATTTAGGTCCATAATGAAAATCATCTCACACAAAAAGGTCTGGAATTTCGACTCTTAAATCGGAAAAGCGAACATGCAAAATCAAGTAAACTCTCTATATGCACAAACAGAAGCTCACGTGAACTATTATATATATGCAGAAAAAAAGAACGATTTCCAGAAATATTCCACAAAGGAAACAAAACCAAACCATTGATGTTGTTTCATTGGATCTAAAGTACAGACAATAACACATGATCATAACAATTCCAACAATAATAGTTCCTAGATTCAACTTCAAATGACATTCAACTATTGGGGACATTTACTTCTATGAAGCAAAGTCAAGAAGGGAAAACACTCCGAGTCTAGCATATACACGCACCAGCAAATCATAATATGCAAGTCAATAGAACTGCATATAAGAGTTAACAACTAAGCAAATATATAGGGAGTAATTTTGCGCATCCACTGAAACAACAAAAGTAAACAGAAACCTAAACAAGTCAACATTATTTGAGAACATCACAAGACAATATAGTTGAGATAAAGTGCATAACAAGAGACCAAATCCCGTTAATTCTTTCCTCTTTTGTTGTAGCTCCCCATCCATCGTAGTGTTCAATATCAATTTAATGCACCTCCGGCTGGCCGACATATAATACATTCCTCGTGCTCTTGTCTTCAATTTATTGGAACCAAGCTCTCAACATAAGCAATAATTTGCGTTTTTTTCTCGATAAGCATGTATACCAAGATTTTTAAGTTCTGGTGTGGAGGGGTCAAACAACACCAATACATGATCAGGGCTCTCAAGAAATAATTCGCCATTTCTTCAAAACCCCGAAGGCCTATGAACTCCAGGATCAAATTCACACTTAATTATTTAGTCCATGATCCATTCAAAACCTATAAATCAAACATACTTATCAGTTCCTTCCCTAGGATAAAAAATAGCACCAAGCAATCCATTAAAGTCAAAAAGCTGCAAATAGTATTGTGCTAAAGTCTCACCAAATTTAGGCAGTGGTAAAGTTGAAAACTTTTCATTGACCATATCAACCAAAAGAATAAGGTCATCACTCATCAGAATCACCAACTGCCACCCTATAACTCAACTTGAATCACTTTTTAAGGGAATATAACTCGAATTGGTTGTTCCAATCAGCCATCAACCCTTCAACTAGATTCTCTTCAAAGTAATTAGTAACAAATCTTACAACTTTGAAGTCATCAGTTTGAGAATCATACCCAAAACCAAGGAAGCCAAATCTAGTAGAATATACTGCAGGAGTTTCTACAAGTTCTCTTTCAATCCATATATTTTGCTTCGAAGCAATAGTTTTCAACTTTGTTTTATGTTTTCCGATTAAATATTCATAAAGAATTATAAATTAACCACCTACAATGAGATTATAAGTAACATGCCAAACCTTCTTTTATTCCGCAGTCATGTTATGTATGAAACAAGGCATATCTCATTTCAGCAAAACTATCAAACCAATGAGCACCAATCTGTTCAAAATCTCAATAGGTATCCTGTAAGGGCTATTCGATTATGTAGGTATCCCGTATCCTGTGATCGTACATTTCGGGATATAGGTACGAGAATATGATCCTCTAAGGACCCTCGAATGACATGAAAAAACTATCAAAATACTCGTGTTCGGCACTCACATCCAAGCACGAACAACCTAAAACAAGACCTCTGCAAGACTGCAATCTATTTACCTCTAAAACAAATAACTGAGGTCAAGAATGAAAATCATCACACATAGAAAGGTCTAGAAAAACAAACATGCAAAAACAAGCTAACTCTTTATAAGCACACACAGAAGCTCATGTGAATTATCATATATATGAAGAAAAATACAACAATTTCCAGAAATATTCCAAAAAGGAAACGCTTTCAAGAAAGTAGTGTTAACCCATTTACCCCTGCAAATACTCTTAACAATGGCTTCACACAAAACAAGACCAAACCATTGACAATGTTTCATTGGATCTAAAGTACAAATAATAATAACAATAGTTCCTACGTTCAACTTCAAATTACATTCAACTATTGGGGACGTTGAGCTCTCATAAGCAAATTCAAGTACAAAAAGCACTCCCTGTATGGCGTATATATGCACCTGCAATCATGATATACAGGTCAATAGAACTGCAGATCAGAGTTAAAAACTAAGAAAATCTGTAGGACGTAATTTTGTGCATCCACTAAAACAACCAAAAGCAAACATAAACCTAAACAAGTCAATATCTAGGGCATGTATATATAATTCAAACAATAACAACAATATTTGAGAACATCACTAGACAATATAGTTGACATAAAGTGCATAGGAAGAGACCCAATCCCATTAAATCTTACCTTTTTTGTTGTAGCTCCCCATCCATCTTAGTTTTCAACATCAATTTGATTCTCCTCATGATGGTCGTCGTATTATACATTCCTCATGCTCTGATCTTCCATTCAATGGAACCAAGCTCTCAACATAAGCTGTAATGTGCATTGTTTCCTGATAAGCGTGAATACCAAGATTTCTAAGCTCTTGTATGGAGGGATCAAATAAAACTAGTTCTTGATCTGAGCTCTCGAGAAACAACTCCCCATTTTTCCAAATCCCCAAAGGTCTCTCAACTCCATGAACAGATTCAACACTTAATTATTTAGTCCATGACCCATTCATAACCCATAAATCAAAAGACTTGTCAGTTTCTTCCCTTGGGTAAAAAATAGCACCAAGCAATCCATTGAAGTCCAAAAGTTCCAAATAATATTGTTCTAAAGTCCCACCAAATTCAGGCAGTGGTGAAGTTGAAAACTTTTCATTAACCATATCAAATGAAAGAACAAGGTGGTCAATTGTAAATGCCTGACAATAAATAAACCCATTGACATAATTATTAAACAAAATAGAAGGAAAACCATCAATCTCAGGATATGAAATTTCCTTCCATGGATCGCTTTTAAGCGAATATAACTCAAATTGGTTGGTCCAATCTACCATCAACCCTTCATCTAGATTCTCTTCAAAGTAATTAGTAACAAATCTTACAAATTTGAAGTCATCAGTTTGAGAATCATACTCTAAACCAATGGGACTAAAACTAGAGAAATCCAGTAGTCCAGGAGAGCGTTGGACTGTGGATTAAGGAAGGATTTTAAACTCTCTGGTAGATGGGTTCTAAAGGATAACATTATGTCCAAAAGCATCTAGATCTTCTAAACACAATATTCCATTACAAGGGCCATGAACGAAAGGTCCATGCACAAAATTCTCTAAAAAGGGTAAGTGAATATTTTGTTTTACTCTAAAGTTTTGGTCTTTCTTAGTCGAAAGTTGAGAGAAATAATGGATGTCATCACGGGTGCCACCATGACAACGTTTGAGAACGATATTAAGGTTATTGTTTTTGAGGTTGTTCTGTTGATGTTTGGTAATGAAATGAGTGCTTTCAAAAGATGAAGACCAGGGTTTACAAACGCACCTGAAACGGGTCAAGGATTTAACAGAAAGCTTTGAGAGAATCTCCAACACCAACATCTCTAGTAATTTCATTCTAGTTTTGATCAACCCTTGCATCTTCCCTCTTTATATTCTCTATTTCATTTGTGTTTTTCAATAGATGATTTTGTTTGGGGAAATACGATGAGAACTAATATGAAAGAAAACGAAGACAGACAAAACTTATAACATGTAACATCAAATGTTTTTCTGTAACAAGAAAACTACAATGGAAACTGATAATTGGTTACACTACTTTGATGAGCTTGGTCGAGCCCTTTTAAAATCCATTAGCTTATCATAGACAGGGTTTGCACAATATTAACAATATACAATATATTAGTATTTTAAAATAATTAAAATAATATATTTTATAATAATAGATCTATAATCATTTATTATAGTTTAAATGATTAAAATAATATATTTTATAATAATTTCTTACAATTAAAGAATATATTTTAACATTACACAAATAAAAGACCTCTAAAACTTTAAATATATTATAAATATAAATGAGTAAATTAACAATTTATATAAGGTCGGGTTGGATCAGTGATTTTTTACCTGAAATATAGTCTCACCCCAACTCGAAGTTATCTATTATATAACACATCATGCCCCGAACTCGAAATTTCAAAAAAAACTGTTTTAATTTTTGTAACAAGAAAATAATCATAGGTGACACTACATTGATGGGCCTAGCCGAGCGTTTGGTAACTTCTAAAATCCATGAGCTTAACATAGGTAGGGTTGGCACAATTTCATTTCGTAAACCGTTAAAATATCAAATATTATTATGAATTTTATTAAGGGTAAATTATAGTAGTGATATCTTACGTTTTTATACGTTTATTTTTTGTCACCAGTTTAAAAAGTTTTTGGTTTTGGTCACTTTTATCTTTTGTCCTTTTTGTTAGTAAAAATGCTTAAATTTTAATTTCACATTTGAATTTAGAAAAAATTTTAATTTGACCTTAAAATTTACATAAAATACTAATCTAACTCTTAAAATCTATATAAAATATGAACTGACTCCTAAATTCAGTCAAAGTAATGTCTCTACTCTCCACTCATTGTCGTTATCGCCCACCGTAAGTTTTCATCACCAGTCTTCGTCGTCGGTTGTCATGTCAACATGCAAGCCATGTAAGCTTGATACTTCATCTTCATACGTTGATAGTTTGTTGACTAACTATTTTCATCCACATAAGAACACTTTTTTCAAAAATGAAATGTTAGAGGTTAAAGTGCTTGTCTATTTAGAGATAGGGTCCAATTACACAATAAAATATTTGTTAGTTTTACACAGATTTAATATTGTTAGATGAGTGAAAATATAAGACTGAGATTAACAATAAAAAATGAAAAGATATTCAGTGAAAAATAAAGAATTAATCTCATTCAGCTATCTCTACTCATCCAATAGTCCTAAATCTGTATATAACTAAAAATATTTTACACTGTATAAATGGATCTTAATATATATATATATATATAATTCAAACCCTAAATTTTTTATTTCAAGATTAATCGAGTTGTTGAAGAATAACTAAATTATCACAAATTCAATAATCCAAAACCTCTAGCATCATGCGTTTTTTTTCAAATTCCGTTAAGTTTAATATTGAAATCAATAACAATACTAGTTAACAATTTAATTCTATATCCTAGTCAACAATTTAATAAAACAATACCAATCATCATCAATTTCAGTTTAAGATTTATATTAGATGCGACAATCATGCATATTTGAGCGAGTTCAAATTTTATTTTATTATAATTAAATAAGTTTGTAAATGAACTATACGAACACGAACAAAAATATGTTCATGTTTATTCGTTTAACTTTAATTGAACATGAACAACTAAATAATTTTTTATTAAATCATATTTAAATTTGATATGACCTATTAACATTTGTGAATAATATTTTTTTAAAATATATAAATGCATTTAAGATTTTAATTATTGTTACTTATTTTATTAATTTTGTTCATGAAAGTTAAGGGAGAAATCATAATATCTATAAGACAAAAGCCCATAATTGCATCATTTTCCTCTTTCCAAACCTTCTATGGTCAAGTTGATCCACGTGAATTGCTTTGTCACCAAGATCCACATGTTTTTATATATGTTCTATGTTCAAGTTGATGACTAGGATGATGGAAGGACTTAATTGAAATGATATTAGTACTTTGAGAAGTAAATTAAAACATTTAAAAATTAGGGACCAATTTAAAATATGATACATAATTTAGGGATGTCTAATGCAAACAACAAAAGTATTAATTTTACAATCTCTACTCATTCTCAATTTCTAACATTGTTGTTTTTAATGATCTCTATTTTTTACATTTATAATCGAGAGTTCCTGATTTAGGTTATTTTTAATATAATTATTAAAGTAATAAATTTTACTTTTAGTTTATAGATTCTAAATTAAATATGTTATTGAATCAAAATAATATTTTATTCAAAGATTTATTTAATTATCGTCTAATTTGATAAGATAAATTTATTATAAAAGCCTTGATTAGTTTTAGAAAATACTTTATAAAAGTAGGTCTCCTAATTTCAGGTTGATTAAGATTAAATTAACATAAGAAAGTATATGTCATTATCAACATTATTTTTTTTACTTCCTATTGTTTAAGGTTAATGTTTTTTTCATTAGTGCATGCTGATGAAGATACATGATGAGTAAATACATGTGGTGGCATACACATGGTTTTCAATTCGGAAGTTGGGCAGCAATAATTTCCCGCCCTTAAAACCCAAACATCACATATAATTTAATAAAATATAAGATTTAATTATCACATGTTATGCAGTTTGGCAGCAGTTGTGATTAATCCCACATTTTTAAACCATTGGATCAAATTAAAGTCCATTTACAAGAACTAAATATTACGAAACTAAAAACTCATTTACAAATCTAAGCCTAAACACATTAAACCCATCAGTCATGCCCTTGCGTGAAGACCCATCAAATTAGGGTTTTCTCATATTCTACCAGGTGTCAGCCATTGGATCTAGGGTTGACCCAGTGAACCATATTAAAAATAAAACTAGAGATTTATTACTAACCCTATTTGCTTCTAGCAGCCCATATTAAAAATTTACCCCTTCATTTGATGTTATCACATCCGCCAAACCCAGGTGTTATCCCCGCTGGTGTGTCCCCCTCGTCAGGTCAAAGAGCCTCGAAATGTGGAAGAGGGTGGATTTTCTCCTTATATAACATGCAAGAAGATTCAAAGAAGGAATGAGTTTTGGAGAGCAAAAAACCAAAAAAATAAATGCAACCCAATCACCATCTTCGAACAAGGGAGAAAATTCAAAAAAGAGAAATACAAATTTTGAATCAGATACAAAACCACAAAAAAAGAGAAGGAAACCTATAAAATGATACCTTTGAGAGAGGGTTGTAGTCACTTCTTTGTTGTTCCCAAGGGTAAAACCTCACTTTTAGGATATTGAGGCTTGTGTGAGTAGTTTAGGGGTCTTGAAAATAGGGTGTTTTTATGATTTAGAATCTTTGAAAATTTATTTTAGGCTTTGAATATCTGAGTTTTTGATTCAAAGAAAGACTTAGTGAGATTTAGGCTTCAAGTTTTAGGGAAGTTTTCACAACCGAGACTGATTTACGACGGCAGTCGTACTGGCCGACTTCTTCTCGATATAAGAGAATATGAGATGGAGAGATCATGGGATTTCTTCTTTTAGGAAAAATATGAAAGAAATGCGAAGTGTTTTTTTATCCGTTTAGGGTATAAGTTTGGCTTACATTTAAGAAACCAATTGTCTTGAGAGGTAGAGTCCATGCGTTTAAAGCATGGGTTATTCATACGGGAAGGGTCTCCATATTTGCAATCATCCATTTTAGTCACTAAATAAAGCTTTAATCTTTGTATTTTGAGCATGTTATTTATTCTGCATTTTATTTCAGTCCCTTGAATATGGTTTCATAGTGTCAGATTTCAGCAGGTCAAAATCACTGAGTTGCTGGAGATGCTACCATAACCAAACAATCCAGTGTTATGCTATAAATTCAATATAACATAACATGAAGACATTGTATGTTTGTTACGAGTACAATATTGTATGTTGTTCTACATTCAAAATGGAATTAAGAAACAGGTGAGGAGATAAATAGTGCAAAAATTGAATTAATTACCTATAGCCGGTGGTTTATCCTGAGGTTTCAATGTTGGGAAGAGAAAATCCTCATGTTAAAACATAACATGCAACATCTTATGAGTGCCGATTAAAATTCGATTGAATCTCATTTGTGAGTGATTTATATACAGATACACAAACATATTAGAGAGAACCTTGATATACCGTGAATCTGTTAATAACATAGCTAGCCGATTGATACCCAATCCCCAACCACCTATTAGTGGTAATCCATACTCAATTAAAACACATAATGTTTCATCTAAAGCCATTGCTTCATCATTACCTGATTGTCGATCCTGACATTCCAAAATCTTCACCCGATTGCTTCATCACCATGCTTCACAATGGAATGGAATTAAACGAATTCAGCTTCATCATCCAAGCCTAACTTTGAATTTCCTATAAAATGGTATTACCTTGAATGTCCCATAAACTTTGACATAAAAAGATAAATTTGGAGGAAATAAATAAAAAAACACATCTTATGATGAAAATGGTCAAATACCTCATATCATCCATAACTTGCACTTTCGCACCGCCACCATGCAAGTCATAGAAGAACATCTTTGAATTGGATGCTCTTTTCCTTATAATTCACCCCAGAATAAACTAAACATAATAGAGTCATTTCAAAATAAATAAATGAACACAACCATGATACATTGGATGGTATATGATGGGAGTGGGAGGGTCTCGTTAAATACCAGCTAAAGACACTGCAACATCCTCAATATGTTACTCATTGCCTAATCTTCCATATTCATCTATATATTCGACTATAAACATTGATGTGAAGAATTTATGAGGATATGGATTTTTTCCTTCTGCCTTTTGAGCTATAAGAAAATTTACCCTATTCTCATGGAATT